GTATATCAGGTATATCAAATCATTTATGATAGAATAAGCAACATAGGTATAAATTACTCAGATTTAAATGTAATCAGTTAGTTTTGAAAATGGTGTAATAGCCGAAACCGGTCAACAATAAAGAAATATAGTGGAAAATAGACAAAAGTGTGTTTTTGTAGTGTATTCTCGGTGAACATGAATTTCCACAAAATAAACAAGTCGTCAATCGAAGAAATGTAATAATAGAAATACACAAGATTGCAGAATTGGAAAATTCCAATTGCAGTCGATTAATCATCTCTTTGACCTTATATTTGTTATATAATGAACTGATAACTGATTGATACTGAGCTTCATTTTTTATTTTATCACGATGCTTTATTGAAGACGAGGTCGAATTTATTGTAAATAAAGATATCAAAATTTACTGCAAAATATTCACTGCAATTGTCAGGCAAATGGATATCGAGATTTGCCTGGAATATTTTCGTTTTTTAATGCATTATTAATGAATTTGATCCTATTTCAAAGTGAATTTTGTTGTGATAGTTTTTATACAGGGCTATTCAAATTCGTTTCTGTACATGGGGATCTCGTAAACAATAAGAGATAGAGTATCGGTTGAATTGTGGCAAAGTTGCGTATTTTAGAGACCTATTCAATGATGTGAACAACTCGAATATAGCTCGTCTGGTTCTGGAGATATACAGGAAAAACAAAAAAATCCCAAATTATTGTTTCGCCTATATCTTCTCTATTCGCAGATATATCGAAAATATGTCTACATTTTGCTATTGGCACTTGATGTGGACTATCAGAATATGTCATGAATTTTTTATACAGGGTGTCATCTGACTTGGGCCACCCCCATCTTTGAATTTTTAAATACGGACCTTTATTTTTTGTTGTAGTTTTTGGATCGTAGACGTTCACTTCTACTGAGAAATTAAATTAAATTTTATATTTCAGGATTTTTCGGTAATATTCGATTATGATTGTGTGAATTATTCCCTTTTAAATTACGGCCCTGGATATTGGTTGAGTGAGTTGAATAAAAACACAATAGCAACTTTCACGTCTCTCTATGTACTGTAGAGTTTTTCGAGAGTTTTTTTTTTCAGTTTTAGGTACCTATTTATATTTTTTCCATTGCTCTGAGCGTTTTCTACAATGAACTTCGAATAAAAAAAACTTTTATGATTATCTGAAACATATCTACAACAAAAA